GGGTAAAGAGGGAGCCCTGGATACCTTCAAACATCTGGAAACCACACATAAACTGTCCCTCCTTCCTGAGACTCTTGTGGAGATTTCTGCAATCAGATCTAAACTTCTTTTTCTTCTAAACTTCTCCAACCAGTTCTATATGAATAGACTAGCCCTGAGACATTATGAATGTGGCAATAAGTGTGAGAAACTGTTAGCTGGAACCTTTAACCCCCCGATATTCTCATACCTTTATACTCCAAACCAAATCTTCTACAGATGCCATGGTGCATACGCCAGAGGATATTCAGCATTTAGCGAAGCCTCTATAATATATTTTCCCTTCTCTCCTACATCCTCAGGGTTGGATCTTGAAGACCGAATTGAGACTTACATTAGAGAGACACCATTTCCAGTATTGAAAGGCAGGCTTTGGTGGAGCCGTTTATTGCAGCCAAACTTTCAAAGGTCTTTACATCGGTTCTCACCAGTTAGAGCCCTTGCCTGGACAGGTTAGAGGCAAAGTTCTATAAGTTATTTCAGGATTCAGGTAGGCAAACTCTGGCCCTCCAGCAGTGGTGCTACTACAAATCCCATTAGGCATTACAAGACCCTGACAGACACAGGCATGACGTTCAGAACGGATGCATGATGGAATTTGTAGTTTCACCACAGCTGGAGGGCTGGAGTTTGCCTACCAATGGTCTAATCGATCAAAACCTAGTGCTGCCTGTTTCCTGACAACCATTGACTCTGAGTGACCTGCACAGCCTGAGTTACTAGGACACTAGTGGCTGAGCAACCCAGCAACATTGGTAGCTAGGACGCAAGTGGGACCACCATTCAAACCAATGACGCTGTGTAGCCATCATTTATCATTGGTTGCTAAGACACTGGTGGCCCCACAGCATCATAGGTTGTTATGGTATGCCCATCTGTGTCCTAGCTACCAATGATGCACTGCAGTGCAGCCCAGCCACCAGTCAACCAATGACATTTGGATACAAATAGGGGTGGGTGGGCAAGCTGGACAAATTATTCACTCATTCGGTGAACTGCAAACAGCTTGTGTTCAGATCGAACTCATGGTTGAACCCAAAGCTCATCCCTAACTTCGATTACCTTTTTAGGGTTTGTATACAAAGACGTTGTTATGCACATCAACAGTCAGCAGTTCCCATTTCCTTCACTGTGTGGGTTACAGTTCTTAGGCTGTGCTTGACCGGTTTTCTGTTTATCTAGATGCAGCAGGTCTATGCGAAATGTTTTTGCTCTGCAGGAAAAGCAGATGTACTATGCATTTAATTGCATGACATCCAGCACTCAAGCAGTGCTGTGATTGAATGCAAATCATGCATTTGATAGCACCAACCTTACACGGCCTTACTTGTAATGTCTGAATACATCATGCAGAAGCTGTAAGGATTATTGTTGGCCCAAAACGAATGTGATGTCACAATATATTTTCAGTACCTATTCATAGTTTATTTAATACATGTATTTCCCCACAGTCCTTCCATAATATACTAAAACCAAGATAGTAAACACTGGCTGAGTAGAAGTGTTTACTTAAAGTTTGTTTTCTTAAGTGTTTGAACTTTGTAGGCTTCTTACAAGCAGGAAGTTATTCAGACAGTGCTCAGGAAGTGCAAAGAGGGAAAATGCATTCCCCGTCGAGTTTTAAACAATTAGCAATTATTTATAAAACACATCTCCAGTTCAGATACCAGTGCCGATACTTGTCATTTTCATGAAAACTACCAGGGTTGCAGCTGGGACCTGGCTCTGGCTCTCTACCACCGTCCTGAAATCATTAGTCTGTATTTTTTAGAAAAACTGTTACATGACAATAAACAAAAATGTATCAGTACTTGTATCTGTGAGTACTTGGACAAGTATCAGTGCTTGTACTTGAAAAAATGGTATCGGTGCATCACTAATATATATTTATAAAACAAAATCATACATTAAAACAGAGATGCACAAATCCCAGGTGCCCCGTATGCTCCTTAAAAAAAATGACAGCTGCCTCCTAACTTTTGATTTTTTTCTCTAGTCTAGTCTTGGAGCTGGAAAAGTATTTGTACATATACTTGCATTTGTGCCGAGTATGGTACGTGGTATATGAACATCCCTACTGAATATCATTACTTAAACCCAAACTCCAAGAAAACAGATAAATACATTGAAGGAAGATGTTTTATCCAACAAAAGATTTGTATCTTAGTCCTTCCAGTCCATACATTTACACAACTCTGCCATACAGTAGAGTTAGGTTGGTGATCTCAGTTTTTACTACTGCAGTTAAGCACTACAGTTACATCACCTCCTGTTTGTCCATCCTTTGACTGGAGAAGGAATAGGCAGCAACAGACTGGTGAGCACATCCTACTTTTTACTCTGCTCTCTCCTATAATTGTTTCTTGTCAGCACATGCACACATTATAAATAAATAGATATACAGTATTTCAATATTATGTATATATAATTTATTGCATAGTGTATCCCCTGGATATAGAGTATGCTTTTTTCAACATTGAGGATGAACTATAAAAATTGCGTTTTAGCATATTTGTTTTATGGCTTCCTATAATTTAAGCCTTGGAAGACGTATTTATCAAATGTTAGTCTATCTAAACCCAAGAGCAAAAATGTTAAACATTGCAGCTTATCGGTCCTAAGAGTTGGTGGCTACATTAGTTTGCTTTTTGAGGCTTTTTTCCTCTTTATTTTCACCCAGTGATCCAGACACTTTTTGTAATCACCTTACTGTATCTATGGAGGAGTGGTGCTGTCACCCTAGGGCTCAAAGTGTGTTAGGTCTCATTCACACTTGAATATTAGGTTCAGTAGTGGATTTCTGTGGCACAAATTACTGGTACCTTCAGACAGCTGCATTTAGCCTGTACGAAGCAATGACAAGCTGACAGGATCCACAGCTGCTCGGATCAACACATCCAAAGGTTACCTGCGGCTAGGGACAGCTGACCAGCCCTGGATGTGTCCTTGCTGGTCATGCAGATGCAGGTGGACAGCTGTGGCTCCTGTCAGATTGTCATTGCTTTGTACAGGCTGAGCGGCCACAGCTGTCCAGAACCAACTGTCATTCCGGTTGCAAGAATCTACTTATTCTTACAGCAGCAATCCAGTGTCACACCTAAAGTCCAACTGTGAATGAGGACTTGGGAGCAACTTGGGAGAGGAAGCAGTGTTCTGTAGTCCACAGAGAAAGCTGAAATCAGAGCACAGGAGCTTATCAGCTCAATGAATTTCTGCCAGGATGAATAAGTATTTTTGCACTTATTAAACCAATTTAACACAATGTTGTTAATGATATATTTAACAGATCAAAGGGAAGCAAATAAAAAAAGGTAATTGTTAGAGTTTACATACACATTAATGTTTGTTTTAAAGGAATTTAAGTTATGAACTGATAAAGCAGATCACCCAGAAAGCTGGATTTTAGTTTACACTTTGAAACTTTAATCACTATCATGAATAAAATATTGTATTCTGATAAATAAATCTGGTTGATACAAGTAATGCTAGTACTTAGTATATATTTTCGTTTTATAATATCACATACCCTTACATATATTTTTCACCACATTTATAAGCAGACCCAGCTGTCCAGTAAAAGAGACACGGGTTGAGATAAACTATAGGCCTGGTTCACACCTAGGAGTTTCTGAGCAGTAGAAAAAGGTTTTTTTAAATGCCCAAAACAAGAAATCCCATGATTTTCAATGGCCCCTGTTCACACCTGAGCAACAAAACGCCAAACGCAGAAAAAAAGTACATGAGCTTTTTTGGCAGTTTCAAGCTCGTTTTGCCTGCATAGACTTCAATAGAAATGCCAGGAAACATGCGGCAGAAGTGTGTTGCACATTTGTTTGCGCGTTTGTATGTGTGTTTGTCCATTGAACGCTATGTCTCTTGAGCTGCCACTTAAACCGCACCTCTTCATGTGCACGTGTTTTCACATGCATAAAAATGTGCCAAACGCTCATAAACATGCAAAAAAACACGCTCTGAACCCACGTGTACAAACGTGCGAAAATGATGCCGCCTAGGTGTGAACCAGGCCTAGCAGTGCCAGCAGTGTCTGAGCAAATGTTTTTAAATTGAAGCCATATAAATGTAATTGTTGCAAGCTCCCCTGGCAGAGTTATAGTTTGTCACAACCCCTGTTGCTTTCCTTTTGTTGGACAGCTTGGTTCATATGTGGAAAAATATACATAAAGACATGATAAGTAAAAAAGGAATTCATAAACTGAGTTCTATGATTACATATAATAACCACATACTGTTATAAGAATACAATATTTGTTGTGATAGCGGTCCTTTTGTTTTCCCAGTAGAAGACAACTTATCACATTTATCTCTAACATAGACAAAACATTGCAAACTAGACTTCACATTTTTATTTCCAAATATACTGACCACACAGTGACTTCATAGGAACAAAATGTTTACATCAGTAGGTTTGGTTTGGTTTGTCTTTTTTTTATATCTTCATCTAACAGTACTTGCTTGATATAGTAAATGCCTTGTGTGAAAAAAATTTATGAGCATGCTCCATCATTTAAAGGGATTGTGTGGTAACAAAGAAGTGAAGAACTTAGAAGACTAATCTCTAAAGAAACCCCAGCACATCTAAGGGGTCTACAAAACAAACATTTTGAAATAAAATGATAGGTTGATTGCATGGTGTCGCATAAAAGTAATTTCTAATTGAAGACGTCAGGATGAGGTCTTATTAGAGTCATTAATATACAGGTAACTCCTTTGAGGTTTGAGTTCATGTAGGACATCCCCATAACTCATCAGTGAGAAACTTTCAGGTTTATTTATAACATTTCCTATACTCCTCCTCGCTATCTAAAAGCGCTAGTGCCATGTGAAGGCATCCTCCCAGCTATACACTGGATGGAAGTTTTTTAAATAAACCCATTTGTGTTTTCGTGTACAGTATGGACTTTATAAGAACCTAGAAGATGCGCAAAGACTGATAACAGGCTTTAACATTGTCCTTCTGATTCATCAAGAGTTATAATAGCTGTACTGTTGTTTTCTGTGCTCCTTGTTTCAATATCAACACTGCTGATTATTTCTTCTTGGTTATCGGTGGATTCACATGGACAGCAGCTGTCTTCCATTTTTGTTTTTTTGTCATTATTTTCAAAAGAAGACTGGAAGTCTATGAACAATACTATAAGACGATAAAGCTGCAACATGACAACCAGGGAATTTTTGGCAGCAAAAAATACTAGCATTTGGCTAATCACACCGAAATAGGCCATAAGGATGATACGGCATATGAGAAATGGACCATCTTGAATCAGTAGACTAATTCCAATGTTCCAAAGATCTGCACTGTATTTACAGAATAGTAAACACAGGCGCCTCTTGGAGGAAGATCCTTGTTGGCATCCAATATTTTTTACTATAAATAAAAGAAAAGTAAACCCAAATTAGAAAATAGCAATAAAGCTAGATGAACAGATGAACATTTACCAATATTATTTTTACAACTAAAAATTAAGCATCAGTTCTTTCAGCTTTCTAAGTCATCATTATGATGGTAGATATCTGTCAGGGTTCCACCCTGACTTAAATGGTTTGCAGCATTCTGGTGTGGCTGCCATTCCACCCACCTGTGATTCCTTCTTTGTCTGAGCAGACTGTTTAACTTTGCTCACTACTCCCAGGCCCTCTCTTATAGCCAAACAGGAGAGCATCATCTGAGAGACCCAGATGGGAGTCTCAGTCCAGTCTGACCTTGCCCTTGTGTGGTTTTAACTGCTAGTACATTCCTGCTGCTCAGTGTATCCTGATTCTGTGTATGACCCAATCCTGGCTGACATTCTCCTCTGGTTCCTGCTCCTGGCTTGTTCCTGAGAAAGCTGATTTCCGTATTCCTGACCTGGCTTGTATGACTACCTGCTCTGACTCCTGACCTTGGCTTGTTCCTGTTGATGATTTTTGCTTGCTCCTGTGGACACTTTTCTTATTAAAGTATTTTTAACTAGCACCTTATGCGTGTCTGGTTTTCAATGTGCTCTGACAATATCATCCAGCAATTTGCTACTAGCAACCAGCATCCATTCTACTTTAATAAGCTTGAAATCCTAGATGTAATCAAAAAAGTGTATCACAGTTAGTTTTTAGGCTCATCCCCATAATTAGAGCCAATTTGTGACACTGAAGCTATCATGCAACGGCTATATTAATCGGGAACTGAGCGATCACATAATGCTGATCACTCAGTTCCCGATCTCCTCCTTGCAGAGAGCATTAACTGTCCGTCACCGCTCCCCGCAGGGATTCCCCCCCCC